ACGGACCATTTATGTATTTATACATGGTGATCATGTCCCCCCTTAATCGCCTCTTCTCCAGAGAGAACAAATTCAGGTCAGTCAATCTCTCCTCATAGCTGAGCTCTTCCATGCCTCTTATGAATTTAGTCGCCCTTCGCTGCACCTTCTCCAGTTCTACAACATCCTTTTTGTGAACTGGTGCATATTCCAGATGAGGTCTTACTAATGCTTTGTAGAGGGGCAGGATTATGTCTCTATCTCTGGAGTCTAGACCCCGTATAATACAAGAAAGTATTTTGCTTGCTTTAGAAACTGCAGCTTGACATTGCATGCTGTTATTAGCCTATGATCTACCAGAACCCCCAGATCTTTCTCCATCATTGACTCCCTCAAACATCTTCCCCCTAGAGTGTATGACGCATGCATGTTTTTAGTCCCCATTCTGGAACAAACCGCAATTGGTGTGAACAAGCCCTGAAAGTGAATGAAAATCCAAAATGTTGGCTTGTCATCAGAACAGGGATCTTATAATAGGAACACTATTTCTGGTGACCCTGCTGACCACTAGGGAGTTTTTTTTCACTTTGGAGAGATTTCCTGTCACTTTCTGCTGTGGCTATTGGACAAAAAGTGAAGGGAAATCTCCACAGATGGCAAAAAAGCTGACAGGGGTTATAACATTCCCTCACTCTATCCAAAACTAAACCTGGATTAAGTTCTACTTTAAGGATAACTATTAAAAGTATAACTATCTTTGATCTTTTAAGTCCCTTTTATGTTTTAACTTGAAGAATCAAATGAGTTACTGTACTACAGTGTCTTAATATGACAGCTCCCCTTTTCCAATGAATATTATTAGACCATTAAACATTTAGGGGTCTATTCACTAAGCTGCCGAAGGATCTAGCCGCAGCTTCGGCCGATCCTTTGGCTAGCTTTGGCCCCAGGACCCCTTCGGTTCACTAGAACCGAACGGGTGCTGTACGGGCTATTCACAATAGCCCGTACAGCTCCTGAACGTGGCCGAGCAGCTCAGTCGAGCTGAACGAATATGCATCGGCTCGGCTGAGCTGTGCTGAAAGCCGAAGCTGGCCGAGCTTCTGACAGCTGGACGGAGCCAG